CTTTGTTTTACAAGTCTTCATTTTACTTTTTAGCTTGTTATTTCTCTATTTCTCACTGTTTTTAAAAAATATTTTATTGATTCTTTTAGAATTTCATATACTGTACCTTTTGAAATAAATAAAGCTTAGGTGGCATAAAAAAGCTGGAGGGAAATATATTAGCAAAAACAACAACAACAGAAAAACCTGAAAAATACATACACACTATCTGACTACGAGTGCATGTGTACCTGAAGGCTACATCCCAATAAACACAGTGCCAGACGGAGAAACTTCCCTTAGAACGTTGGTCAGGGTAGTCCAAGAAACTCCCCAAATAACAGGCTATTGTCAGAGCCTTTGATTACCCACCCCAGGACTTGAAAGTAAGGCCCTATAGCTGGAGACAGGACATACTGCAGACACAGGACTTAGAGCGATGAAGCTGGAACTGACCTGGAGGCCACCTCCCTGAAGACTAGCTCTCATAGTTCTAGAGAACGCTGTGCAAACTGCTAAAGTATAAAACTCAATCAGTGGTCCAGCCCAGCTGTAAAGTCTAATAACCACAACAATCGGGAGCACAAACCATCTCTATTGGTGCAGTAGTGGCACTTTTATCTAGGGGGGGGTGTGCTGGACAGCTTTAGTGTCAACTTGACTCACCTGGGTTGAGGGAGCCTCAACTGGCGAATTGCCTTCATTGGACTGGCCTGTGGCCATGTCCATGGGGCACCTTCTTGATTGTTGAGTGATCTGGGAGGGCCCAGCCCACTGTGGGTGGTGTCTATGCTGCATAAGAAAGCAGGCTGAGCAGGGGCCTGGGAAGCAAGCCAGTAAGCAGTGATCCTCCATGGCCTGTGCTTCAGCTCCTGCCTCCAGGTTCCTGCCCTGAGTTCCTACCTTGGGCTCCCTAATGAACTGTGACCTGAGAAATGTAAGCTAAATAAACTCTTTCCTCCCCAAGTTGGTATTGGTCAGAGTGTTTTGTCACAGCAACGGAGAAACTAAGATGGGGCGATCAATAGCTATCTTATTGGATTAAAAGTCCTCTAAATGAGAGGGAACTCATGGGTGGCACTGTAAATATAGCCAAACGCATGGCTGGAGAGGTCATAAATCCCAGAGAAAACCATATCTCTGTTACATCTGTAGACAAATGAAATTTCTTATTGTATGCTAAATATGGATTCTTATGTTTACAGACAAGAATGCCATACATCACTCATCAAAGAAGCTCTTTTTGCAACAGATAGAGGCTATTTCAGAGTTTCACAACTGGTCACACACAGAGAGATACTCAGCCCTAAGTGACACATCTACAGTGGAACCTCCATACCAAAGGCTAGTGGAACTTAGGGGAACAGCAGGTAGAGAGTACTAACATCCCTCAACTCTCAACAGCAAAGCTTCCTAAAACAAGAGTGCAATACACACAGAAGGCCACAACTGGCTAAGCTTTGGAGAATAAGAGACTGTAGAGTTCGTGTCCCTAGATAGAACTCCTATACTAACCCTCACCCACCCATGGCTCGGGGACCACTATGGAAGAGGGGACAGAAAGATTGTAAGAGCCAGGGTTGGAGCACGACCATAACGAAAAAGAAGCTTTCAGGCCTGTGGGAACTTGTACATAAACTTGCAACAATGGTGACGGCATATATAAGACCCATGCTAACTCACTCAGACCCAGCATAGAATGGGGGAAATGGGCAGCAGGCCCAACCCTAGCCAAGGAGCTATTGGTAAATGATTAGTGTCGGGTGAAAGAGAGTAGATCTTCTTTGAGGGAGTGACTCTAGTTAGACTGACTAGATTCCAGTGGATGAACTTGCACCAAGGGATGTCTAGATACAAATGCTTTACAAGATAGGACTTAGCATATACGACAGAATACCTGAAATCTTGGGGGAGAGGCTATGGGGGTCAGAGAGGAGGGGAGGTGTCTAAATTTGATTAAGATGTATTCTATGAAATGCACAAAAGCTCAATAAAAATCACAAAATAAGTTAATTAAAATAAATTTTAAAAACAATAATAATAGAGGGCATGAAGTGGGAGATAGAAAGGACAGAAACAGGAGGTGGGAGAGGGCATCTGAATATGGTCAAAATACATTGGGTGGTGGATTCTGATCAACATAACAAAGCAGCTGGTGCAGCCTCTACAGGGGCAGAAAAAGAGACAGTAGCTCCCTCTGCCACCCTCCTGGGAAAACCACTGGCCTTGAAACACTGTTCACTCTTCATGTGCTGGGGCCTTGGCAGCCCCTCTGAAGGTTACTCCTGCTTCAGGCTGGTGCCCTGTCTGACTCCCAGGTCCTGTTCATACAGATGCTGCCTCGGGTCTGGAATTAGATAAGATGCTGGCAAACTCCCCATCTCTATGTCTACATACAAGCCAGAGGCCACTTCAGAGTCACAGAGTCTGGCATGTGCATTCTTCCCCTGACCCGAGATGCTTCAACACAGCTGAATGCCTTCTCCAAGAGGCTCCAAAAGACCTTGAGCCTCCCACTCTATTTCTGTTCAGCAGTTCACAGAGGATAACCACAAAGAGCACTTAACAGCCAGCTTTGAGGACGAATAAAACAGTTCCTATTTACTGCCTCAGGTGCTAATGAACAAAAATAATAAATTATATCACTTACCTGAGAAGCCAAAAGATCTTTTTTAAGCAAATATTCCTCTTTATGTTTTTCCAGTAATTCTTGCACCTCTTGCAGACATTGTTTTTGCAATATGATTTCTTCTCTCTCAAAGTTCAGTTTGGTACAGGTGTCATCTATGTAAAGAGTAGCTGTGGCTTTCTCTTCCAGGGTATGGTTCAGCAACAGGACAAACTTGGCATGCTGCTTTGACAGCTCTTCTTGCTTTTCACTAGGAGGAAAGAATCATGTACAACATAAAAAGGCACTCAGGAGAGGAAGGACTGAGTCTGTTTGGTGCTGTGAGCCCTCGTAAAGGTGCTTATGTGCTAGTTGTCTTTGCGATCATTTAAACTCAACTGAGATAAAGACAGAAGGAAACAGAACAAGTGTCAACCTTGCACCTGTTTGCCCACTGCTACAATGTCACCTGGCCCCACCTCACTCCATCCCTCCTCATGTAGCAGGTAATAATTAGAGAAGATGATTCCAAAGTCATTTTGAACAGGTGGATGGGATCTGACCAGATGCATGTTTTGAGGTAGGTCATTAAGTCAAAGGAAGATGATTGTTCCATCACATCTCCAGCCACTGATACCACAGCCCTGTAGGATGGTCCCAAGAGAAAGCTAGCCTTTCTCTGGACAGAAGTCAGAAAAGGAGGTAACATCCATTTTTACTGTTTAGAAGATGCCTGAGATTTGATCCTCATCTTTTCAACCAGATCTGAGTACAACAGGAGTCATGAACTTACACATTTAGTGCTGGTCACATATCCCTGAGGAAGACCTGATACTGGGAGAAACAGCCAGCCCAGGGAAAGCAGCCCAGGGAAAGCAGAAGGGTTTGAAGAAGGAAAAACAGGTGCCATTTCTCCACTTTACTTTTTTGATAGTCTTTTATTTGTTTATTTATTTACATTTTATGTGTATGAGTGTTTTGCTTGCATATATGTAAGTGTACCCATGTCATGCAAAGTTTGTGGAGACCAGAAGAGGGTGTTAAATTCCCCTGGAACTGGAGTTACAGATGGTTGCTAGCCACCATATGGATGCTGGGAATTGAACCTGGATCCTCTGCAAGAGAAGTCAGTGCTCTTACCTGCTGAGCCATCTCTCCAGCCCCTGTTTTACTTTTAAAAATTTGTATTTATTATTTTTATGTGTATGTGTGTATTGCCTGCATGTAGGTAAGTGCACCCATGTCGTGCAATGCCCACAGAGGTCAGAAGAGGCTGTCGGATCCCCTGGGACTGAAGTTATGGACAGTTGTTAGCTGCCATGTGGGTGCTGGGATTTGAACCCAGGTCTGCAAGAACAACCAGTGTTCTTAACTGCTGAGCCGTCTCTCCAGCCTGTTTTACTTTTTAAAAGCTCCTACAACATAAACACCTTGCCTAATTTTTAGTTCCAAGAGTTAGAGACTTAAGGTGGGGGATGTTTGAAGGCTCAAGAAAATAGAAACAGGCTGTTGGGAGATTTATTTTGCAGAGGCCACACTTTACAGAAAAGATACAATAAAAAGTATCTTGAGATAGAGGCCTGGTAAGGGGGTCAGTCAGTCAGTGGGTACTTTGTGGGTCCAGCACACAAAACCTGAGAAGGAATCAGCCCAAGGATTGAAAAGTCTCAGTCAAGCCCCAAAACCTAACTCTGTGTGTGTGTGTGTGTGTGTGTGTGTGTGTCTGTGTGCGTGTCTGAGAGAGAGAGAGAGAGAGACAGAGACAGAGAGAGAGAGAGAGGTGAGTTGAGAAGAGAGCACTCACAAACAGCAAGAGGGATCTGCCTTGTTTCTAGTTTCCCAGGACTACCCAGGAGACAGGGGAGGCTCACCACCACCCATCAGAGCTTGTGAGCACTTTGAGAATGTATCTTTCTTTGAAAAGTAGATGCAACAAGTGAGATTACAACTTGACAGTGCTAGCTAGCTTATCAAACCACCTCCTTCTATGTATACTGTGTCTTTCCCTAAAGATTTGTCAATGGTAGGAGTTCTCCCACTGTGTCAAAGTTAGCATTGACTTGGGAACTTGTAAGAGATGCAGAGATCTGGCTCTACCCTATTACCTGCTAGACCCATGGAATCCCAGCAATTTGTATTTTAACAAGCTCTCTCAGGATCCTGATGCTCATCCAAGTTTGAAAATCACAAGAGCATAAGGATGTGATGCTGCTGGATAAACGCAGCTGTGCATTCTATTTCTGGCTACTGGTTTAGAAATAATCTATGTATAGCTGTCTCTGGCAACAGTAGACAGCATGTTCTGTGCACAAATCTGCATTGTGAATTCTATAGAGGTTAGGCTATTCACTATTCCTCAAAATCAGATAATTATGATCCTTTTTCATGACATATCTCCCAGGACAGGTGTTCTGAGGTCCTGGTTTGGGAAGCATGTCCCTGAGCCTCCAAGGCCTTCAAATCTCCCCTTGATTCCTAAGGCTTTGCTATCTTGTGTACCAAACAACTATCTTCCATTGTAGCTTCCCAGGACACTTTCCCCCTATGTCAACAGTTCTTTGATCATTTCTTGGTCTAGACAACCAACATTCTGATATTGATGCATTAGTCTTGCAAATTTGCTTAGAGTGCTAAGTTATTCTCCAATCGTTTTACTGTTTTCTTCTAGAATAAATTTTCCTCTCACGAGCTGCAGCAAGTGAGGAGTTCTGAATCCAGTTTTACAGATGGAGCAAATGAGGCCCATGGGATGAAGTGTGAGTCTGAGGGAGCACACCTCAGGAATAAAGAACTGTAAGAGCCCAAGTTCCAGGCAGTTATATATGGTGTTCTCATTTAACTATACATGTAAACTCCAGAGCCCTCTCCTGGGAATCAACTCCATCCCCCAGTAGCTTATAAGCATGCCTCAGTATCTTTAAGCAAATGAACTAGATACATTAGATCTGGCTTGGTTTTTATTTAATTCCATCTTGCTTTGGAGCAGAGTGGAGATGCAAATGTATTTTTATACAAATAAAAACTAAAAACATTGTACGCCTCCATCTTGGGAGATGGCCTTGGAAGTGGTCTGTGGCTTACTCGTAACCAGTCTTTGATACTGGGAAGCTGGATTGGCCCTGAAATGGCATAGGACTTCTGGCTGCAGCAGGTGAAGATTTTCTGCTCAGCCTGGGTCTCTTAACCTGCCCTGCCCCAGTTCCAGTCAGAGGATAAAGCATGCTTTCTGCACTCAATCCAGATCCCTACTTTCTCAAATACTGAATTAAAAAATACCTACCCCAGGACTTCATTGCTTTCCTTCAGATCATTTATTCTCTTCTTTAGAAACTCTGCTTCATTATCCATCTTTGCAATCTTCTTTCGCATTTGATCTATCTCAAGAAGATTTAATTTGCGAGCATCTCTGACACATTCTTAAAAGCAAGAAGGAAATGTGACTCACTCAAGAAAGAGTATAATTGTAGATCCCCTCAAATTAAGAAGAAAACTGTCTTCCATAGGCATATTCTTCTCATATTTCTGTGCCAGGTACCTCTTGCCACTTTTTCCCACTTCAACCTCACCATTTTATTTCTCTGATTTCTGCTGCTGTTATGATAATCAGTTCCCATGCTCTGAAAAGTTTAACAGAGCTGCAGTCTGATAGCAACTGGCTCCCACTGGCCCCATGTATGCCTCGGCCCCTGCCTCGGACTTTCTACTGTCTCTAACACAGGGTTTCTTTAGGTACCACACCCATGCAAGTGAAACCAGAAACTTAGAAGGAGGGACAAACATTGGACAAATGCTGGACAGGAGGCAGGGCAGAAATACTTCTGCCTCCCATCAGTGGGTGAAATGAGTTAGATTATAGGGGCATGTTCTCATAATTAATTTCTTGGGGCTAGCTGGCCCTAACATTATAATGCTCCCCACATTGTTTCTCCTCCATGGTCTTGGTCTCCTTATCCTGCCCTTCCTCTTTGGATTATACTCCCTAAAAATACAATGGGCAAAAGTCATTGCCTCAGATTCTCTTTTCTGAGGAAGCCAATGTAATAGCTACTGAGCCATGAATAAATATCAAACAAGTGTAATCATGCAAGTAGGTCTTCAGTGAAAGGGTCAAGTTCATGAGGCTTTGAACACTGCTGTTTCAAAAGGTGCTTAACCATCTACTCCCACACAATTTCCCCAGACAGTAGATAATTGCTCCCCTCAGAGATATAGTTTACTTCCCTCTTAGTTTTTGTTTTTCTAGGTTATTAGTTAAATTTTTCACGGTAACAAAGTTTCTCAAACTTTGTTTCTCAAATATACATAAAATCACTGGGGAATCCTGTTATAATTCAGGTTCTGATGCAGAACAGTGGGTCTGGAGTGTGCTTGGAGATTCTAGGCTTTCTAAACAAGTTTTCACTTGCTGTTTATGTTGCTGATCCACAGACCACATGTCAAGCAGTAAGGTCACTTACATAAGGTCACTTAAACCTTCTTGGTTACATATGCAGCATGTATCAAGGACCTTATAAGGTAATGTGATATCGTATTTTTTCCTACTCAGAGGTGTTTCCCATTTATATAAATGTAACCCAAGCTGGAAAACAAAGAAAAGCAACCAAAAAAGTAAAACAAACATTTTTAACTTTTCCTTTGACACAGATTCTTCTAAGTCTTATTTTTTTCTGTGTATATGTAATTTGTATTTTCCTTGTCAAACTATTCTGACACCAAGCATATTGTTTTATTATATAACCTATGGAATTAGTTAGGGTCTAGCTTGAGGGCAGAAATCTCACAGTAAATTAAGCAGAAAAGTTAATTAAAAAGAGCCATTGACTACAACCAAAGATTAGAATAACAGGGGAACAGGTAGTAAGAACACAGGTAAACTGTAAACAATTCAGGAAAGGTTGAGACAGAGCTCAAGGAAGCAGTGACTCCAGTCCTGTGAGGCAAACCTCACTAAAGAGGTATGTGGCCCATTGGAAGGCAAAGAAATCTATGAAATGCCAAGCCAGCAGAACTTGCTGGAAATCCCTCTGGACTGTTAAGAGAACTTGTCTACACAGAGATACTCAGTGCAAAACTACCCAAAGAAGTACAGGGGAGCTCTTCACAGAGAGGTGCCTATCTGTGGCGCTGTGCTATGAAGCTATCCAAGGGGCTGGGGACAGTTTGGCCCCAAGGACCACAGGCTGCTGCTGAACTCAAGCATGCTGAAGTCACATGCTCTATGGGAGTCTGTCAAGCTGAGCACGGGAATCTGAAGAGAAATCCTTTCCTCTCTTTCTCTATAAAATCCTTTGCCCACTACTAAACATTTGCCAGTTGGTAAGGGGGAAATCTACAAGATACAGCTAGTTCCCTTACAGTTAGACAGATCATCATTGGTAAGTGGATAGATAGGTGGAACATCTATCTTAAATTTTTTTTTCTTTTCTTTTATGAGACAGGATCCCTGTAGGCCTGGCTGGTCTGGAATTCACTGTGTAGACTAGACTGGCCTTGATCTCACAAATACCTGCTTGCCTCTGCCTCCAGAGTACTGGGATCAAAGGTATGCATCAGGACACCTGGCTGCTTTCCTTTGCTTTCTGCCAGGTGAGGTAGCACATACCTGTAATCCCAGCACTTGGGGGTTAGAAGCAGGAGAAAGAGCTCCAGACCAGCCTGGGTTGCATGAAAACATGTCTTAAAACAAAATCAAAGTAAAATATAAACCCAAACAAACAAGCAAAATGCTATTTATTTATCTGAATCACCCTTTTTAAGATGGGCTCCTTGGGAAACAAATTCTATAGTTTGTGTGCAGAAAACATATGGTACAATATTTTCAGGAGCATCTCCTATGGAGATTAAGAGTGGCAAGACTGGCAGAGGGGAAACTAAAATGTGAAGAGCATTGGAACTGTGAGGACACTTCAGAGTTGCTCTATATTGATATAGGGAGTCATAGTAGCTGATCACTGATTGTGACACCTAGGGAGGAAATGTCACCTGGGGCAAAGCCACTGTCTTGGTGCAAAGTAATTTCTAGAGAGAAATTCAGCTGTGAACCATGGCCAACACTTCCAGCTGCTCGGAAAATGAATTTCACAATAGCCAAAAGGGAGAAGAAGCTAGCAAACCGTCCACTAGCAATGGGATGAATAAACAAAGTGAGGTAGATATACACCAGGGAATATTATTCCTCATTATACAGAAAAGACATTCCTACATGCTCCAATATAAATAAACCTTGAAGACCTTATGCTAAGTGAGAAAAGTTAGTCAAACGGGACTATTTAAACCAAGTACCTAGAGCTACCAAAGTGACACAAACCGAAAGTAGAATGATGAATTCGGACATCCAAGCTGCCTAATTTGATTGTATAAATATTAAACTGGGACAGGCTGATCCATCTCTTAATCTATTTAGAAACAAAATTATGCAAATTAAATGTCTATATGGTCATTATTTGCACTTGAAATATCGGTGGGGGGGAGGCATTATTACAGATCACACCGTTACACCAGGTCATCTTCCTAGTGATGCTTATACAAGCACAACTGTTAAGCTCATCTTGCTCACAAATACTGGGCTCTGTTTTCTTAAAAGAGAAACTAAATGACAACTTCACTGTACCTTCCACCTCCCTGTTAACAGTGAAGGGCACAGTTTCCAACAGGAAGTAGAGCCTGCTCAGCTCCATACTTTCAATTTCCAGAAGCTCAATTGTGTTTTTCCTCATTTCTTCCTAGAAAAATTAAATTACATTTTTAGAAAGTGAATGCACCTAAACAATAAGTTTGGTTTCCTAAGAAATGCTCTATTTATGTTTTCTGGGGTCAAAATTTCACTTTCACCAGACATCTTCTACTATTATTTTTATCTGGAGTAGAAATAGGAAGAGAATAAACTTCATAATCAGTTTTTTAAAGATATCATTGGATTTATCTTTGCATTTTGTTGATTATTTCACTCAGAAATCTTTTTCCTCAGTGTATCTATTTCTTGTACCTAGATTCAATCAATCTAAAGGGAAAGAGTCTAACAAGAACAATATTGAGAGAGAAGGCTACTTACTAAAAAAATAAAAATTGCCTATAAAACTATGCTTAGTGAGACCTCCTCCATCAGGGTACCTGCTGGGAGCTCAGCAGACCACCAGAATGTGCTGGGTTCTGGCCTCCATCTGGCCTCCAACTACCAGAGGGCTTGAGAACCCAGGGGACAGCCTGACAGCCCTGATCCTGCTTCCATGTGGTGGTGAGCTTCCCCTAATTGCACCATACCATCCCCCTACCTGGGATTTGCTGAGGTGCCTCCCAGGGCCCCAGGGCAGATCTGGTAGGCTAAGGCTGGGATCTCAGCAAACCACCAGAGAGTGCTGAGTTCTGACCCCCTCTGGCCTCCCTCTGGCATAGGGTTGACAATGCACAGGACTGCCTGAGAGACCCTGGGTCCTGCCTCTATGTGGTGAAGGAAGCCTGAGTGTACCTGATGAGAACCTGAATCGGGTTTCTGTGAGTACCCCTGAATAGCTGATCTGAAGCCATCAGTTCCCTCCAAAATAAACCTGAGAGAACCTGAACCCTCTACCAACCAGCTTTACATAATCAATAAAGAAAGGATCTAGGCACCTGGATAACACAAACAGAAGCATACTTCAACTTAATTTGCTAACAGAATCATAAACAACAAAAGAAATTCACATGCCAAACCACAACCAAAGAACAATAAAATGGAAAGCCAAAACACTATGTCCCCACCAAACCCCACCAATCCTGTAGAAGAGTTCTACAAAGGAGAACCCCCTAGAGATAACCCAGGACACTGAATTTAAAAGAACAATCATAAACATGACCAAGGAATTCAACAAATTTAAAGAACATGCCAGGTGTGGTGGTGCATGCCTTTAATCTCAGGACTTGGGAGGCAGAGGCAGGAGGATCTTTATGAGTTCAAGTCTAGCCTGATCTACATAGTGAGTTCCAGGACAGCTGGGGCTACGAGAGACCCTTTC